ACAGGGTCACCTGCAGGACTTGCAAGCTCTCACTCATCCCTCCAGCCTGCTGAGAGGTGGCTTTTAGGGCTCGGAGCTTGCACTGTGCTTTGCGCTTAAAGCAGAGCTGTGAACTCTGTTATGGGTGAGTAATGCTGTGTGCCTCTTCCCCAAATTTACAGCGCTGCCTCTCGGTGTGAATTTTCTGCAAGGGAAATGAGAAAATCCATAGCTTGGTTTATGAGCCCTAATCAGTGTAAAACAGGGCCTTTAAGAAATTTATCTTTTGCTGAGTCCACCCTTTTATTTGGCACCTTCCAGGGAATAAATTCTCTCTCCTTGAGGCTGGGGAGCTAGCTCCTGGTGGCAGCAGGTCTTGGGGACTTCAGTCACAGCCTCAGGTCCCTGCAGCAGGAACAGGCAGGGCCACTGTCTCCCTGGCCCATTTGGGAACGTCCCAGGGAAGAACAACCAGGAGTTTTTGCGTGTGCGTTAATATTGTCACAGGATGTCCCCGGAAGGGTCAGATCCCGTGACTGCTGTAATGTACAGGGATAGGTACCTGGGATTGGGGCAGTGACACTTTAATACCCCGTACACTACATGATGTTTTGATGTGGAATACTGAAACCATTAAAAAAAAAACAAAAACATAGAACCATGACACAGGAGGCTTTGGAGCTGGACATGGGTGTCTCTGGTGCATCTTGTGATGGCTTAGGTACCAGAGAGATCTCGTTTTGATGTGTATTTCCAAATGGGAGCATGTTCCCTGGAAATATCCCGTGCTAAGGCTGGGGTGGCTTAAAGTGTCTTGAAAAGAGGTCATGCATCTGGCAGTGGGGTGAAACCCTGTCACAGGAACATCACAGCCCAGGCATAACAGAGCAAAGAGAAGCAAAATCGAAGCATCACCTACTTCCCTTGCTCTAGCAATGGGACATGGACACATCCCAACCCTTGTGGCAGCAGAATTGACTGTCCCAGTGACAGCTGTGCTACTGGGAGCACACAGGTGTGCAACTGATGGATGCTTCCCTGCTCAGCCGGGCAGCGGAAATATAATTTATTCATTGCTATTTTCTTTGTTATTTCCTACCAGCCTGTTTTACACAGGCAATTTTGGATAAGTGGCATTAGATAAATAATGCATAGTGTTTGCCACCAGTTTGTGTGCAACAGATGGGCATGGGCTGGTATGTATGCTGGTCGGCCGCTCCTGCATGCCGTGCTGATGTCTCTGCTCCAGGCTAGTGTCTCCAACCTGGCTGGGTCCTCGCAGTGCTCTCAGGTTTGCTTTTGGCCACTTGGGTGCATTTTTACTTACGCACACTTGCTTGCAAATGAGCCAAGTGCTGCTACAAGGTGGGGGTGGTCGTGCAAAAACCATCATTGGTTTGAGGGGGCTTTGCAGAAGCAGGGGACAGGAGAGGCAGGAGTGAGCACTGTGCTGGAGCTGCCCCCTGCATGGGCAGCACGCCTGCATGCAGGCGGGCTGTGTAACAGCCGGAGATCTGGCGTGAGCACGCAATGTTGTCATGGGCCCTGGAGGTTTTGCTGGCATGAACTGGGGATGATGAGTTATGCAGGTCATCCCGCGAGTGCACTGTAACATCGGTATCCCCTGCAGCCCGGGGTCTGAATGTGCCCCAAGTGAAAGAGAAGAAATACCTCCTACAGAAGTGTTTTAGAGACCTCTTAAAAGTTTTATGGGTACTATTTTTTTGTATCCCTCCACCTGTGGAACAAGGCATCTTTAGTACATTCAGCCCTCAGCAGGAGAGGAAAATTACAACTGATCCATTTCAGAAACCTCTAAAAATGACCTAAAATAACTTTTCTATATATAAAAATGCCACAATTTTAATGTCCATTATCTCATGACCTAGCAGGGCTAGGAAAAGCTATTGTAGATCATTTTTAGTGGTTTCTAAAATGGATCGGTTACACTTTTTTCCCTACTCAGTGGGACTCAGAGTACAAAGGCATCTGGGCTTTAGAGGTGGCAAGAGAGACAGAACCCTGTTCTAGGCTTCCTTAACTTATCCCTAGGAAGGGATACTTTAATCCTCAGGGGCCGTCTTGTGGTGTCCCCAGTCTGGCAGAGTGCTGGCGCTGCTCAGGCAGCAGTGATTCCTGATGAGCCAGAAGGGAATTGGTCAAGGGGATACAGTGCAGGATGAGGAGGGCAGCCCCATCCCTGACATGGGTCTTCTGCAGGATTTGCAGCACAGTAGTGATGGTTGAACAGATTATACTACCTGACAGAGTTGTCCATTTTGCAAGGAAATTGCACAAGTGAATGCATTCCTGTGAGTGGCATGAGCCTGCTCACTCCCTGAAGCTTTTCGCAGCAGCTGAGCAGAGGGGGTGATGGGGGTAATGGGGTTGGGAAGGAGCCGTGGCCCAGGCATTAGCCACCCCAGGCATGCAGAGTGGACGTCAGCAGAGCACGTGGGAGAGGTGGCTTCCTGCCATGCAAGAGGTTAATAGACAGATTAGAGAGGGCAAGCAGTGTTTGCAGCGAGAGGAGAGGAGCTGTGCCTTGATGGAGCTCAGCAGCTCCACAAGGCGACAGGGAAGTAAATATTTGTCAGGATTAGGGAGGCTGCAGGCGGTCACTCCCATGTGCCTCTGAGAAGTGCCCGTGCTGCAGGAGGCTGAGCCTTGAGCCTGGGCTCTAGGGGCTACGTGAGGCCACCACTGGGCTGGAGACTGCAGGGGCTCAGGGCTGGACATCAGCCTGGTGGGATAGGGAAAGGAAGGGTGGAACTGGGCTCTGTGCACCCAGACACACTGCCCAAAGCCTTCTGAGATCCTCAGGACAGAAAAAGCCTTTAATGCTCCCTGATGGCTCAGTTTTCCTTTGCTGCCTTTCTTGCTCTCTCTATCAGCCGTCAGCCTGGCCCACCTCCAAAGACAGCATTATGGAGTGCAGGATCGATTGGAGCCTGCTATTTTATTTGCTGTCTGTAAGATCCTTTGATGGGTAGGATGAGCTGTGCTGGCAAGGATTTTCTTGCCAAGGCTGGGAGAGGAGCAGGGTTGCAGGCCACCATCTGCTGTAGAGTGATGGGACTTGCCACCAGCTCAGGAAAGGTGGCCATGACCCTCTCTTGGTGCACCATCACATCTCACAAAGAGCTTGATGCTCCCGCTGTAGTGGCACCTGGGGACATGGCCAGGTGGGCCGTAAAGTGCCACAGCCACATCTCCAGATGGCATATCAGCCTGGCTTTGCACTGACTGAGTAAGCATGATGGAAGCAGAGACTTGGGCAGTTCCATCTCCCTTCTCAGGCTCCTCTTCCACCTTATGCCTAAAGGCACTACAGCCAAATGACTGAAGCTGCCACAAGCACAGAAGCTGGGGGCTGAGACCCTGCCCCTGACCCCAGCGTGGTGCCGAGGGTGCCCATGGAGATGCAGCTCCCTTGCAGACTGCTGCAGAGCAGGGGTAGGAATGGGCAGCAGCAAGCAATCCTGTGTCTTTTGCAAAGCAAGGCAGAGACACGAGGCCAACTCAGAGATTGCTGAGAGCTGAATCTGGTCTAATTGCAAAGATAAATTATCAGCTGGGCTAATTGCAGGTAGGGCAAGGCACCGTACAGGACATTGGCGTTGTCCTGTATCCAGAGCCTGGAGTGGCTCCCGCTCTCCTACAGGAGCTGTGCGGCGCTGAACGCAGGAGAGTCCCATGGCATCCCCCCTGCACTGCCACTGCCATACTCCCAGCGCCATTCCCAGCCCCGTTCCAGCCACCGTGCCAGGCGGGTGCTGTGAGCCCACACTGCCACCGCGCGGTCGCTGGGACACAAGAGCCTGTCCCGAAGTCCCCTGCACCACTTCACCCCTCAGAAACATCTCACAGGGGCCCTCAGAGACTTCCTGTTGGCCCCTGCAACAGGTGATGCTGTGCTCAGCTTGTTGCAGCCTCACTCTTAGGGTATCTGTGGGGCAGGGAAGGGGTTAAGGACGACCATAGGAAGAGGAGGAGAACAGAGATGTAGTGGGGAGAAGGCCCTTGTTTCTGTTCTTGCAATTAGCTATGGAGGATCTGCTTAAATAATTTACCTGGGAGGCTCATTACGAGGCTCTGGCCTTCGTCTGCCGTCTGAAGGCTGAAATAGCCATTAGGGGGAACACACATCTCCTGTCCAAGCAGCCTGCCTGCCCCTCCACATCCCACACCCTGCCCGTGCTGCCCGTTCTGTGGTGCCTCCTCGCTCCATCCTGCCGCAGGGTGATAAGGCATGCACAAGCCCCGTGCCTCAGTTTCCCCCATCCAGCCAAGGGAGTTCATCTTAGTACAAGGTGCCATACCATGGTGCTGCTCTTAGCAATGGAAGAGTACAGGTACTGAAAGGAGTTAACTTCAGTGATTTTAGTGTGTTACTAACCTGCAAGGGCAAAATTTATCAGCAGAAAGGTATCACAGTTCTTCCTCCCACATGAGTGTTTCACAGAGGCTTCCTGTCGCTCTGCTGCACTCCTGCATGCTGTGATATTTGCTTGTATGTTTGGGAAAGCCGAGTGCAGCATGAACACTTGGGGACAGGATGCTCTGCCTCACTGCTGAGAGCAACAGTACAGCTGTTCCTGCAGGGCTGGATTTTCCCTCTGGTTTCAGGCTGCTTCTCTGCATCTTGTCAAAGCTATCCTTCTCCATCCCTTTAAGGACCTCAGGTCTTCCTGAGGATCATCCCTCAACAAGAAGTTTAGCACTCCCTGGGGACATGATGGAGAAAGCCGTGAGCGCTGCAGCTTAATGGGGTCAAGAGAGCAGCACATCCTCCCCATCAGAATCATCTCTGTGTAGCGATCTCAAAGATAATTTCCCCAGTACCTGCCAACCTTCTCTGCCACCCTTTATCTCATCAGAACTGGTGACCTGCTGGGGGAGGAGGCAAGCTCTCAGCTGGACCTGGGGGTGTGCTTGAAGGGGAAGGACCTCTCCGTGTTTAGGAGCTGGTGATAAAGCCCACCTGGATGAATAATTCCTCTTTTCTTTTTCCTTGACAGTCCCTCCAAAAGAGCCAGTGCTGATGTGTCGGTCCAACAACTACCCGAAGGGTTTCTACTGCAGCTGGCACCTGCCCAGCCCCACCTACATCCCCAACTCCTTCAACATCTCTGTCATGTAAGTGCCTTGGAGGGAGAGCACTTCGTTCCCCACAGCAGGTTCCAAGTAGTGCTTGGGTCAGCTGTGCTGAGTATGTACTGTCAGTGCCTGAAAGATGGGCCCTAGGACGGATGCTTGGCATGGGGGCTTTGTCCCAAGGAAGATCCCATTTCCCTACAGGTGACTGCCAACATAGAGGCCTATGAGACCTGGAATCCTAAAGGCCTAGAGGGTTGAATATAAGGCATAAAATCCTTTAGGCCTGCTTAGGGGCAGGCATAGAAGGAAGCCTTGAAGCTCAGAAGCCCCAGTACCTAGGATGTTAACTAGAGTTCTCAAGCTCTAGAGAGAGACCTATGGGTCTAGGTGTGGATCTGGGGGCCTCAAGGCTCTGAGGCCAACTCGTAGATCCCCTTTCTGTGCCCCTGAAGTCCATCCTGTCCATGCCACTTCTCTGTGGTGGAGGTCATACCTTCTGTTTTTCAGCAATTTTGGCACAGCCATGCTCCCTCCTGAAAACTGGCTGTGGCCAGTTTGGGCCGTGGCATGGCATCACCCACCGCCCTGAGCAGGGGTCCTGGAACTACCCTTCTAATACCACGCCTTTGTTTTTGGGGCTTATTTCCTGAGCAGAAATAAAATAGATCCTGATCCTCCCACAGGAGAGGCAGAACCAACCCTAGCCCCAGCAAGGTCTCATCCTTGCAGCTGAACAGGGGAAGAGCAGCAGCAATTTCTGGAGGCCAGCACAAACACCTTCACCCCAGTCTCTCTGCAGACTTCCGTCCATAATAGCAGATCCTCATGCAAAATTCTCTCCCGTGAGGGTGGCAGAAGGGGTTCTGGCATTAGGGGACCTTGCACAGAGTGGGTGCACCACACTGCTGCTCTACAGCTGTGTGTGTGTGCATCCCCACCCTGAGTGCTGGCCTGTAGCTAATTGCTCTTCTCCTCCTACTTACAGACATGGCACGAGAGAGATGGTCTGTGAAAAGGACATCTTCCCCAAAAACAGGTGTCACATCAGATACCTCCAGCTCTTCTCAACAGTGAAGTACAAGGTTACTCTGACCGTCACGAATGCTCTGGGCAAAAACTCCACCACTCTCACCTTTGACGAGTTCGCCATAGGTAACTTCCACAGCAGCAACTGGCCTCTCTGAGCCAGTGTTGGGTTTGGTTTGATCTGTGCACTGCATCTCCCACTGCAGCAATGGGCAAAGGAAGCGTCAGGGTCCCAAGTCTCTGTCTGCCCATGCATGAGATAGAGCTGGGGTATGAGCCATGCTGGCATCTCTCTAGAGTCTCGAAGGATTGTGGCATTTGGGTTTTGCTGTGGGACATGTGCTCCTGCTGTGGTGTGTCTGGTGGAGGGGCTGCCATGTAGGGATACGACACCTGGGCATCCTGGGGGAGCAGGGCAGGGTGCAGACGAGCAGCCCCCATGTGGTCCCTGATGTTTTGACTGGTGCTATCCTCTGTGGTCTCAGGTTTCTCAGGGTGCTAAGCTACTATTAGTTAGGGTCTTGGGAAGCAGCTGTCACAGGGCAGAGGGCTGGGGAATCATGGCACTGCCCTTCTCACACCTCTGAATATTGCTGAAATAGAAGTTTTTTCTTCATGTTTGAAGCAAATTTGCAGGAATTGGCTTTGGAAGACAAATTCCAATTACATGTGCATGCATAGCACAAGCACAGCCCGGACATGGAGCAAAACTGACCCTCTGTGGCTGCTGTCGTCCTCTGAGTATTTCGCGTCACCCTGGCTATAAATGCCCAACAGAGCTCTGCAAGGCAGCAGGAGCAACCATGGTGCCATAATAGCTCTGTATGTATGCTGCCCCGTCTCCCACACTTCTGCAAGGCTATTGCTCAGCCTCCAACTGGCACCAATAGAGGCAGAGAGGGCTCAGCTCTGCTGATGGAACTCTTTCAATAGTGGACCATCCTGGAGCAAGCAGTTCAGAGGGAAAGTGGCAAAGCAGGGAGCTGAGCACGGGGCTTTTGCCACCTACCGAAGGCAAACCACAGCTGGTGAGGAGACAAGATTGTCCATTTTCAAACAGCAGGAAAAATGAGAGAGAGGAGTTCAGAAACAAGTCAAAAAACAATTTGCTGTTTACATGAGGCAATTACTGGACCAGAAAATCAAATAAATGAATCTCTGAAATGCAGCCAGCAGTCAGTCAGTGCTACGGACATGCTGCGTGTGCCAGTCTTGAGCAGCCAGAATTGCCAGAGTGCAGGTAGAAGAGCTCCACTGCTGTCTCAGATTTTCCCTTTCTACTCTAGGTCCTGGAAAACATCAAACAAGAAACAAGGTGCCAGTTCCGAACAGAGCGGGGAAATTATTTTGGAGCAGGGACTGGGACTGTCCTCTTGTGTCCCCACTGCTGTGATCCATATCCAAAGTTCCTATCCTTTGGTGCATTGTGAACATTAATAACAAAGCAAGGAGCTTAGAAGGGAAGTGGTGGAGTTTTAGTCACTTGGGTGTTTTTAAATGGAAATTGTTGTCTTTGTGGAAGATACACTCCTTAAATGAAGGTAACCTCCGGACAACAGTCCCAGGGCAGCAATTAAGCTGCATTTTCTGAGTTCCTTGCATTCCCTCCTCCAGGAGTTCAGGGCATCCTCCTGTAATATCTGCATCCCACCCATGCCCTTCCTGGTTTGGAGAACATCTGATGCCACTCCTGAGTAAAGCAGCCGGCACCACCTCTGCAGGAGGAATCTGCCGGTCCCCCTTCAGCAAGCAGGGGCATCCCCCCCAGGAAGCACACCCGGCTCAGCACCAGCACAATCCAGATCCAGCCCAGGAGCCTGAACTCAGCTGGGTCAGAGCAGCAATGAGCAGGGCCAGCTGCTAGCATGGGTGCAGTACCACTGCCTTTCACCAGATGTGTTCCAGCTGTTGCGGGGGTGTGAGACCCCCAGTACCCCATGGCAGATGCTCAAAGGCACTTAAGGAAGGGGTGATGGGACAGCACATTGCTTCAGTATATTCCAGCCTTAAAATCTCCACGTTCTGCATGGCTGTGAAATTTTCCCCCTTAGGATTTTTTACAGCTGTAGTGTGTAAGAAGTGCAGAGGTGATCAAGCAGGCAGTCAGCAGGAGTAGCAGAGATGTTCCAGGATGAACTCAGCAATAGCCAAGTATCCCACATCGAGCTTCTCCTTGGGCCTTCCCGATTTTTGATTAAAACAAGTGTGCTGCACTACTGTATTTTGCTTTTGCTTGGCATTTCTGCCTGGGTGATTCTGGTGGTAGGAGAGCCCTAGGTTGCCTTGCATGTCTGCAACTCCTGGAGATCTGCTCTCTGCAGCTGCAACTGCAGCAGTGCAGGGTAGAGCCTGTGCCCCAGAACAGTTAGTGGCACCCAGCAGAAGTCACCAGTCAGAGAGTTCATCTTTGAATTCTGCCTTGCTAAATGGAAGTGCAGAGAAACCTCAGGCTTGAAACAAAACTATTTCACTGACTTGTTGCAAAGGGTTCGGGGGTGTAAAGCCCTTACTTTGTGCCTGCTGGGACCACCCACTGGCCAACCACAAAAAGACCCCTGGGAAGAGGTGATCTCTTTTGGTTTTGCTTCCTTCCTCTTCCACCAGAGTCCTCAGCAGCAAATCCCCTCCCCAGCTGCTTGGAAGATGGACTCTAATTGAGTGGAAAATGAGTGGTGCTTTCTTTTGATATCTGGAGCCGATGCCTTGCTGGTGGTTGCACGATGCTGCCTGTTAGCAGCCAGCTACAAGGGGCTGCTCTGTATTTCCATTCCTAGTGATGACTGGAAGAAGGTTTCCAGCCCTCTGACCCCCATCTTTCATTGCTAGGATATCCGGGCAGCCTCCTGCCCTGTCTCGCTGCTGGAAATTGTTTTCATAATTATGTTTTCTGCAAAGGTATAAATATTAATAAAGGTGAATGTGGTGAGGGCAGGGCTGTGCAAAACCTTGCAGGCATCACATCTCCAGTCTCTAGCCAGGAGGGAGAAGGGCTGGAGGAAGAGAAGAGAGGGCTTGAGGCAGGGGAAGGTGCCAGGCAGGAGTGGTACAGTGTGCTAGGGGCTACCCTTCCCCTTCTGACTGCTGGGAACACTGATGTGATTCAGGGATGTATCCCCCACCTCCAAGAGCATCCTGCCACAGAGCGGGGACAGCACCACAGTGCCAGCATCCCACCTCAGTGGCAACGCCTTTTTTTCTTTTAATGCAAACACAGGGCAGATTAGCAGGAGAAGATGCACAGCATTAAAAATGTATTGGCAGCACTGATTATTCTGGCGAGATGGCAGGGCTGCAGACAAGCAAGGGAGCGCAGAGGGGCTTGCTTAGGTGTGATCACAGAGGATTTCACCCAAAAATTGTTGAGCAGATAATAAACCAAAGGTTTATTATCAGATTTTCTTACTTCACCCCATGCCACGCTGTTGGGATATGCTCAGGACAGGCGGAAAGTGGCAGCACAGGCAGTGGTGTCATTCCACATCTGCCACACATCCCTTGTGTGACCCTGGGGAGGTCGCACGATTGTCCCCACTGCATCTCCGGGGCAGTGAACGCACAGTGTTGCAGAGGGGCTGTGTGAGGATGAACGTGCTGTCCCCTGTAAGAAATTCAGTCTCTGAGCACGGGTATACAATTGCCTAGACAGAAGGTCAGTTCAATTCATACTACTTAGGGAGGCAGAATTAAATTACGTAGACTGACATTTGGCTAAGGCATGGAGTTTAATGTCCCTCTTCTCAGGGAAAATGCCAGGGGATATTTAACGGCCGCAAGGCATCCATTTCAGCATGGGGCAGAAGGATGGATACATGGTGTGTGCTCAGGCAGCACCTCCTTCGATGAGCACTTGTGGTCCAGCGTGAGCCTGCAGAGCCTTTAGGCAAAGCCTGTCCTGTTCTAAAGACAAGAGATAACTGCAGGACCCTTTCTGAACCCGAAAGCAAAGCAGAACGAGCTGGAAGCTGCCTCCCAACCAAATCCCATGTCTCCTTCTCAGGAATGTTTGGAGATGCTCCCTCAGCTCTGCAGGATAATATTACATCTGGTTTTGCAGCCGCTTAACCAATACTCAGCCTAATGCCCATCGTCCATTATTATTATTATTACTATTATTACTTATATTACATTACTGCCTGCGGGCCTGTGCTGAGGACACAGCTCCATTATGCTCACTGATGTACAGCCAGACAGCCCTTGCCTTGCAATTTGCTGCTTAAATGGACTGGGCAGACAAAGGCCGGGGGAAGGAGGAGCGGGGAGCAGGGACTTGGGATGCTATGGAGGATGAAGCACTCCTTCAAGGTCAGGCACTGGACCAGCTGCAGAGCTGGTGTAGATCCCCATGTACTGGCTCCCACATCCCCGCAGCGATGGAGGGACATGGCAGGAGTTTTCTGGGAGGGGCTGGCACTGCCGCACCTCTCTTAGGCCTGGGCAGGAGTCCCACAGCCAGGGGGACACGTGGGGAGGCAGACGCAGCCCTTGTGATGGTTTTCCCATTAAGACGCAGTGACGTTTGAAGGCTCGCTGCTGCTGGGAGCTCTGCCACGCTCACAGTAAGCCAGCACAGCTCTCCTCTAATGTGAGGGGGTCACGTCCCTGAAAAATGAAGGGATGACTTCCTCCCTCAGCATCAGGGCACCTTCCTTGCTCTCCTCCAACCTGACACAGTGGCGTTTCCCATTCCCTGTGTTATGCCAGAGCTCTCCTCACAGCTGTGACATCCTATTGCATCCATCTCCACCCTGGTGCTTTTATCCCTTGCTGTGGAGCCACAGTTTGCTTTCATCTGCATTCATTCAGCCAAACAGATTTTTTGTTTTGCAAACCCAGCCCAGTGAGCCAGCACTGGATTTATACTTTTCCGTATGTGTTTGGCCTCCAAGGCCCCATGGATGGAAGCTGATGTCCAGCCCAAGCCCAGGGATTCAAAGCGAGCAAGGGAATTACGCAGCCATCTGGAGTAGCTCAGCATTGCAGTCCCAGCAAATCATCCCTCCCTCCGCAGCTCCTGCCTGCCTCAAATTACTGCCTCAAGTTACTGTCCTCAAATATGATGACTACAAAAACCTCGTGCACAAATTGCCTGCACTGCCCAGCTCCAGCCCGCCCCTTGCAAAGTGGCAGTGAGTGGCAAGAACATGAGTTTCTGCAGCAGTGCCATCTCACATGAGCACCCAGTCCCATACAGCTTCAAGCCTCACTTGCCCCCTTCACTGACCAGAGGAAGCAAAGCCCTTGTGGAGATGTCATCTCCCTGGAGCCAGCAGGGAGGAGACGGCTCTGAGTGCATTGCAGGAGCTCTGTCAGGCTCTTCCCAACCCCAGAATCTCTCCTGCGTGATTGGAATTAGAGATGGTGCCTTCACAAGTTTCTGGTCAGATCAGGAGCACTGCTTTATCTGGCAGTTTCTAGGCTGAAGTGACAGTTTCTTCATGCAGTCTTCATGTGGATTTTGGGAGTGTTGAGAGCTCTCCCAGGACAGCACCATTCTGTGATTCTGTGATTAGGTGACCACCTGCATCACTATTCTTAGTGAACACAGAGAGCCTTGTGAGCAGTCCCATGGAAATCCTTCACCTTCCCGGCTCCCAAGTTTGCAGCAGAGATTCAGGATATCTCCATGCATAGCTCCTCAGAGGGGGTGTGTTTTAACCTGGCTGTCAGGCCCCTGCACAACCCGTATTTTAGACTTCTCAGAGCTTTGCTGCTGCAAACTGAGAGTCTGAGCTGTTGAGATCTGGGCAGACTTTTGGTGAGGAGCAAAGCTGACTCTGCAAGAGGCAACGCTGTTCATCACAGCCTATTTAGGTTTTGATCCCAGCACTTTAAAGTAGCAGCAACTTCTGAGCATGTTGCACAGTCAATTAATATTCACTTGAAATACTTATTGGGTAGTGAAAAAATATTCCTGTATCTCAGAAGCAGAGCAGGAATGACAAACCACCGGGTTTGCCTGTGCTGCATGCAATGGGTCAGTGCCTGGAATCCCCAGCCCTAAACTGCAACCTGCTGAGAGGTGAGTAGATCTGATGGCAGGTCAGACTCCCAGCCATCTGGAGGAGCAAGGAAAGCATGGAGTTAGGGCTCAGCAAGCTCCCTGCACTCACCCAGGTACCTGTGGAGAGGAGGGATGTTCTCTGTTCTGTCCAGGTGCTGGCATCTCCTTAGTGCTGATTATTCTGAGCCAGGATATTCCTGACCCATACGCACTAAAAGGTGATTTTCTACAGCTGATGAGCCATCACTTGGACTTACTCATCCCCAGAGCACATCACCTAGGCAGGCTTTTCACCCACCTCCCCACTGTAAGACCTGTTGCATCCAATCAGGGGGACTTTAACAGCTGTTCTTTTCCCTTCCAGTAAAGCCGGATCCTCCAGAGAGCGTGGTGGCCAAGCCTGTGCCCAATAACCCGAGGCGGCTGGAAGTGTCATGGCAGAACCCCTCATCCTGGCCCGACCCTGAGTCCTTCCCCCTCAAGTTCTTCCTGCGCTATCGGCCCCTCATCCTGGACCAGTGGCAGCACGTAAGTGATGCTGAGAAGCAGGCAGCAGGCTGGCAAGATGGGGTGACCTGGGACCGAGAAATGTCTGTTCACTTTCCTGTCAACACAGCCCCTTTTCCTCTCTTTTTTTTTCCGCCTCCCTTTTCTTCCTCTTTCTTTTAAGTCATATTCTGCCTACAAATGGCTCTGCAGGCTCTCCCCTTTTTGCATTTTAATCTGTGGCCTGTATCTGTTTTCCATACATATGTTCTATATAAAACCTGCCAACAAGATGTAAAAGGCATTTAAAGTATAAATGTCACTGCATTTAAATGTGCCTCTGCCACATTTAGATTTTGAGCCGAAGATAAAATACCGTTTGCAGTAACTCAGGGCACAGTCAGCAACGGAGCGATTGCCATGATGTTATCGTATTTCTTACTTTTATTTCTTGTTTCTTTAAAAAAAAAAATTGTCAGTGAAATCCTTGGCAGCCCGCAGGACAGATTTCATTTGTTAGCGGCAGGAAGATAACGAACAGGATTTTTTTCTTCTTCTTTGCTATATGCTGCTTGCATGCTCCACTTATGAAGGAAAGCAATCTGCTGCTGGATGAGAGGTGCTGCTGCACCAGTGTGGCTCATCCCGACATCTCCTAGATGGGCCAAAGGAAAGCCAATTAGGCAAGCGTGGCAGCGGGTTGCTTGATGAGGCATTTTGCCCAGAAAGGAGACAAATGGGAGCCAGCGTTCCATCCCCAAGGAGCTCACCTGCGATGCGATGCTGAGAGGGATTTTCTGCCAGACAGCTCTTCTTAGGGAGAAAAATATCTCAAAAAGGGAATGAGAGGCTTTGTGCTGTGCTTGTGTCGCTGTAAGACATCATCATCCCAGTGGGTTTTTCTCTTTCAGTTGCTTTTCTTTGATAAGGCAGTGGCGCAGGTCTTGTTTCAGACTGAAGTGTTTTGCTGATGGCTTTGAAAACTAGACAGGTGCTGGTAGAGTCTTCTCCCATTTGTCTCTCCCTGCCCTTCTCTTCTCAGAGGGAGGGAGAGAGCAGCTGCCAATCGCTCTGCTGGGACAAGAGAGAGATGGGAGAGTTTGGATTTTCGCATTGTTGGAAGAGCTTTTTCATTTTGAGGAGGAAAGTATTCAAACTGTGGGAAAAGGGGTAAAGTGCATGGGAAAATAGGAAATGCAAAGTCACTTATTTCAGCTTATGAAACCATTGTGAAAAAGGCTGATGTTTTCCCCAGCTGCAGCCTGGTCCTCATGATACATGTGCCAATGGGCTGTCTCCTGCCTCGACGTATTGGCTTGGGGCTAAGCCCATGAGGGGACAGAACAGTACACAGTGGGAAATACATGGAGGTGCTGGAGACACTGGGGTGAGGCACCCCAGCTGCAAAAGTCAGCTTTAGGGCAGTCAAAAGATGTCTTCCCAAGCTGCAGAGCGGGAGCAGTCCTCAGTATGGGTGCTTGAGAGCTGGAAAGCTCACCATCTCAGGAGGGCACAGTGGTCCCAGTGGTGTCACTCTTAATCCACGGCGTTTTGTAGGACTTGTTTCTCAGTCACTGGCTGATGGAGAAGTGTGTTTGGGGAATAATTTGCTTGGTAAGCAAGTGCAGTACCAGCCTTGCTTACTGAATCCCTACCCCACTGATTGCATAATGAAAAATCTGATTTATGGGTGATTAGAGGAAAACTGCCACTATTCATCAGATATTCATCAACTATTTGCAAAACCTAATTCAGTCAGTTCCCAAACACCAGGAATGGCAGTGCTGCAGCGCCAGAGCCCTGGGACCCCTGGGTGTGCTCAGCCACAGCCTCCTTAGCCCCTCTGGATACCTGGCAGATTTAGGTGTCTGCACCCAAAAGTGAGTTGCCAGATGCTATGAGCCCTAGAAGTTTAGCATCACTGGAGGTGTTGAAGAAACAAGATGTGGTACTGAAGGACATGATTAGTGAGCATAGCAGTGATGGGTTGATGATAGATGATCTTAGTGGTCTTTTCAACCTTAATGATTCTGTGATTCTATAAGCTCTGCTTTTCTAGACCCATTGCTTCTTGGCATCTTGAGAGTGCCCAAGGAGCACCCAAAATCTGTCCAGGAGAGGGAAGGCTATGGCTTGGTGGAGCCAAGACCAGCTCAGCATGACTTAAATTGATGGTAGGTCTCTCCTTATAGGGACTGGTGTCCTGAGATAGGATGAAGCATGACCTGTGTTTGCACAGCAAGGTGTTAATTTGTGCTGAGGTGAAGGTTTTCCTGAGTGCTTTGTGGAATGTCCATTGCTGTAAGAGCAGGACTAGAGGACAGCTCCAGAGACTGGCTAGAGATACAGCCCTCCATGCTCGCATTGCACGTGGCATTTCTTGGCAAAAGCTGCAATTCCTTCCTCCCCTCCGCCTCCCATTATCTGCACAGGGGCTGATTTATGCACAGCACCTCAGCAGACAGGACTGAATGAGCACTAATAGGATCAGATGGATGTCGAGCTGTCGAATACTGTAGGGCCTGATTCAATCAGCGTCTGCTTTCTCCCAGGCTCTTCCTTTCAGGATTTTAATAATGCCAGGCCTTGGCACCAGAAGATGAAGCCGTCCGTGGCGGGAACAGTGGATCTTATCAAGAGTGCTGCTGGGTGAGCCAGCTATCATTGCACAGCATCTTCCCCAGGGACAGCCAGCCTGGGAGGTGCAGAGCCAGGGGCACAGTGGGGACCCTCCTCCCCTCCTTGACATGGCAGAGTGCTCACAAAGGTGCGTTTCAGCCTCAGCACACCGTTTGCCCCCCCTTTCTCTGGGCTCAGCAATGAATTTCCGCTCAGGCCACTTAGCAGCTCTCGTGTTGGAGTTTGCTCTGGGAGTTATTACTGCATGCTCTGGGATTTATTAGCACAGAGAGACGATGAGTGTCCACGTGTGCGGGATGCTGCTTGCAGCAGGGCTGTCGTGACATCTCACAGCAGCTCTGTTGAACCCAGCACAAGCATTTGCCAGTTGTGCAGGACACACAACCACTCTGTGTCACATTGGGTGATCACTCTGTCTCACCGACACCGAGCTCACCCAGAAAGCTGAGCAGCTTCAACGTCACACTCTTCCCTTCTGGAAGAGGGGCTGGCAGTTTCTTTCCTGCATGAAGAGAGATGAGATATTTGTAGCCTAAACAGATTTTTCCATTCTCTCCTTTTGGCAGAATCTCATGTTCTGTCTCCTAAATATAAAACATTAAATGTTCAGGGTATCCTTTATTTTTCTCCTGCTTTTAAGTTTGTAATTCAAGCCAGATTAGCATGGTTTCCTCTTCTGTTTTATAGCCCCATCCTGGCCCCAAGCGAGCTCTCCTAATGCTCTCAGATGTTCCTCTAATGGATTACCTAGGCTGGAACTGGATACCCTTTCCTAATGGATTGCTAATAGCCTGTTTCTGGTTTTACAGGCTCCTTCGGTTAACTCGCAACAGCAGCTATCTCTGTGCATGCCTGCAGGCTGCCCACGAGCACAGCTGTGTGCACACTCGTGGATGCGATGGCATGCAGGTCCTTGGCCATGCACATGCTCCCCCACACAGCCGGGGATGTCCCAGGTGACGTCAGGAAGCCTGACACAGCTCGTGCACCAGATCTACTCTTGCTCAGGGGTATCACCTGGATCAGGATCTCTCCATGGTTGTTTCTAGCGGAGATGGCATGCGCTGAGCACTGGCGGGGTTGGTGCACAGGCGCAGGAATGTGGCAATGCTCAGAGGTAGTTGTAGGACTGGCAGCCAAGGAAGGAAGGGAGGATTTCCTCTGGTGAGCTGCCAGCAATTTGCAGATGCCGTTGTGAAGTCTAATTGAACGCATTGGCCGTGCTGACAACACGAAATGTTAACGAACCGTGCATCTTCAGATTTGCAGAAAAAGGTCATGAGATGCTTAAAGCTAATAATGCGATGGGGTTTTCTCCTTCATCTTCTGTTTTGGAAGCATTAGAGACGTGTTTGTAAGCATTTGCAAAGGCTGGAAACAGCTTTCTTTAGAACATCAAGGGGAGATCTTCATGGCTTGCCAGGATGTTAGGTGGCCGTGAGCAGCGGTCTGTGCAAGGTCTGCTGTGTGGGTAGGTTTAAGGATATTTCCCCCAAGCAAACCAACGTTTTTTACCAAATGTATGACTCTCACAGGCTAACATAACGCAGAAGTATGTCCTAATCCTATACGTCACTGCCCGTGATGGGCAAGGGGAGGAAGGAGCTGGGAAGGCAATTAATGTGACCGCCTGCTGCAGCCGCATCCCCTTTGGGATGGCTGCAGTGTCGCTTTGTGACACCACACTTATTTGTGCCTGTTTGCATCCCCGTGCTGCTTTGCCTGCATTTCCCTTCCTCGCTAGGCAGCCTTGGCAGGGAGGTCACCCTGACCCAGCGCCATTAAAGCTTCACGCCTGGTTGCTTTTACTGCGACACTTCTCTTCCTTCCCCTCCTGGCTGCAAAGTCAGTGATTAAAAAAGAGGTGGGGAAAAAAAAAAAAAAAAGAATCAATAGGAGGTAGGAGGAAGTGAAATGTTGAGGCTGGAATAGCGTCGCTTGCAGTTTGGTATGGGACAGGCAGAGCAGAGGTGCCACAGAGGTGGAAGTCCCATCTGCTGTAGTCCCTCTGCATTGGCCCCAGCAGTAGGAGGAAGCTTTTGCATGGTAAATGCATCTGCAGCCGGAGCCTGGAGATTGGTGCTGAATGCCCTGAGCATCCCAGCCCCATCCTCCTGTGGCTGCAAGCAAAGCAAGCTCTGACAGTTGTCGCTTGGCAGGAGGGGAAGACGTATCCGGAGACAGAGTCCCATTATTAACAAGATTACAGCTGTGCTTTCAAAGATGCTCTTTATTTTAAGCCAGAAGGGAGCCATTCAGCCTCATCTGGTGTGAGACAAGCCAAGCTGCGGAGGAGCCCTGCAATTACTCGTCCTCCCCAGCCAATAGCTGGAGCTGAGCTGTGTGCTGCAGTCTTTTTTGGGGGGTGACTGCAGGGACAATGGCTCAGACCTCCCTGGAACTTATCCACTGCCTGGCTGGCAGGGAGGAGGCACAGGGGGAGGAGAGTCCTTCACTTTTACCAACCTTTCAGTTATCACTGAAGGAGAGAGAAAGTTTTGTCTGGGGTTAACCAAACTGATTCCCGCCGTGCCACAGGAGGAGACGTTTGGGGTCTCTTTTATTAGTAATGAATGTCAGACCTATATGATTTCCAGACAAAAGGGGGAAAACAAAACCTTTCCTTGCCCCTGCTGACATCATTTCACAGGCAGCAGCAACTGTTTGCTGTGACCCAGCTCTCGGGGTTGACCCTGGTTTGGAGCAGGAGAAAACCCCTTCCAGGAGTCACAACGGAGAGCGGGAGGCATTGAGGAATGGAAAGTAGAGCTGCAAACACATTTTTGTGTGGGATGCAAAGAGTCATCCAGTCCTCCCTTCTTCACTGTCTTCCAGCACATCGCACCACCAAGCCCAGCTGCAGGGCAGGGAGGGCTGAGGTCCTCTCCTTTTGGAGATCATCCAGGTATCAACCTTGCACTGCATCACCCTGTTCACCAGTAGTTGCTTCCTGGCAGCACAGAATGGAAATAGAGCTTGACTGGGAGCAGAACACACTGTGACCTCTTTACTGCCAGGGCACCTTGGCAGGCTACAGGAGCACAGGGGGAAATCACAGCTTTAGCCTCCGCTTCACTGTGTGGGAGGATACAGTGCCCTTTAAACTTGTGTTAGCCATGGGATGAGAGATGGACACTGCTCGGTGTGTACAGTGTCCCAAGGATGGAGACCTGCAGAATGCCAGCCCATGCTGCCCTAGGCAAGATGTAGGCTGAATTACTGCTGAATTACTGGGGCTCAAGGGCTCTTTTTCATTTCTCTCTGGTGGTTTTTTGTTGTTGTTTTGGTGGGGTTTTTTTGCAATGCTAATAGCTCTGCATTGCACTGGCTGCTGATCCCTCATTAATCTGGGCAGCGCTTTACAGCCAGCCAGAGTGACTTTTGGCAGGTGCACAAAGGCAGGCTGCAAAATGCAGACCCCTCCAGCCAAAAAAAAAAAATTACCATGCTCAGCCTTCTCCAACTTTTTTCTCTGTGTGACAGGGACGCGGATTAAGGAATTTCTCCCTCTCCCTTTGATGCTGTGTGCCCAGCCATCCCTCCGTGTCCTCCCCAGTCTGTTCTCGCTGCCTCTCCCTTTCTGTGTCCAGTTGGAACCTGTGTGTTTTCCCATCTGCTGCTGCTGCTGCATTTCTGTGCTGAGACACAGGCACCCGTTCATGGACTTTCTCATCAACCATGACAAAGCTGTTCTCTCTCTGATATATCCCCTAGCTCAGAAATGCCTTTTGGAAAACTTGAACTGCGCTTCAGGACATCCTATGTAAGGGGGGAGATGGGTGCTGTACCCTACACCTTCCCTTTTTATTTGCTGTCTAAATAGCTTAGGACAGCATCCTCCAAGATCCCACAAGGAAGATGCTTCATCCTGGGTCTTGGGGAGCATCCCCATGACCCCATAGTCCCATCTGCAAACATTCAGCTGCAGGCCAGCTGCATCTGGAGGGCAGCAGGAAAAGCAGGTGCTGAGGACATTCTTTCAAGTGCTGTATGTGCAGCACTAGGTGCTAGGAGCCTATCTCTGCTGGGCACCCTGATCCAGCTTGGGTTTGGGGCAGAGGAGCTCAAACTCCTTTCCTGCAGGACTGTGCCCTGGGAAGGGAGCACCTAATTCTGGCCATACGGATGAGAGGCAGTCGAGGGCTGGTTCTTTGCCTCGTCAGCAGGCTGGAAAACAGTAAAGCCCAGCACAGAGCCATACTGGGGGCTGAAGTCTTGCCTATCTCTGCTCCATGCAAGGCCTCTCCTTGAAGACATTTCCCCTGTGCAGGCAGCTGCAGTCACATCCTTTGCCCCAGCAGGACAACGACATCCTGTGATGACCACAGCTGCTGCCCCTTTCATGTTCCCAGTGTCACCCAGGAGTGCCATGCCACAGCTCCAGATGCCCTTCCTGATACCAAGCAGCAGGGCGGTGGGGGGACAGGGAACAGGCACCGTGGCACACTCTGACCTCTGATCCTGGCTGAGGCATTAGCAGTATCTGCTGGAGTCCCAGAATGATGAGCAGGCATTAAAGACAAATTCTGCCTGAATGATCCCAAACACTGCACCTGCTTCCAGCATTGAAGCCTACACCCCCTAAACCTGGCACCCTAATCAGCTGCACTTGTGCCAGTGGGTCAGACCCTGGCTCAGTGCTTTTGCTCTTCCCTGCAGAACTCATGCCCCATGTGCAGGGATAAGCAGGGCTAAGCATCCCTCTTCCCAACCCAAAAAGTGCAGTGCTGAGACAGACACACACCTTTCTCCCTGCTCCCCTGTGGATTTGATAACAACTTCGCACCTCGCGGGCGGCAGAAGGCCCTTTGCTCCAGATCTGCTGCAGATGTGAGGCTCCAAGCCACTGGGAGCACCTGAGAGCACAAAGCCTGGCTTGCGGCAGGCTGCAGGCAGCTCTCAGAGAGGGAACAGGGGCAGAAAGGCTCTTGCCCACAGTGAAAAAACAAAGCATCCCCTTCTCTAGTGGGGAACTTAGTGGCTTTATAAAAGCTGAGGGTGATATCTGTGTAAGAAAAGGATTAAATCTGTGCTAGGATGTTGAACATGCTGTGCAGGTGAGATGGGAAGAGGGCTGATTGTTTCTCAGAATGGGTTCCCTCCTTTCTGATATCCCTGCAAGGAGCAGGGTGATGGCTTTGACCACACCAGTCACTAGCCAGGCAGTTCTGCCAAGGCACACATCCCTAGCAGGGACAGTGTCCCCATGCATGCTGAGATGCATTGTCAGGACATCCTTGCCACATCAGCACACTGACTGTGCTGCATCCCAGTGGTGCAGCCCCCTTGGCTGTTCAGCTCTTTTCAGTTTCTGGGATGCAAGCAAGAACCAGGCTGAAGTCTTCATCTCTATCTTTCTCTTGCTGTTGAACCAAGTTCTTAATAAAATTCAGCTGTCAGTGTTACCCTGGGCAGTGGAATGCTGTGCTGGAGCCTTCTGCTCCTGGAAGCATCGCCCACCTTGCTGCTGTCTCCTGAAGCCTCAGCCACCATCTGCTCCCACATCCCAGGCTGAGTTCTGGGGCTCACTGGGCACAAATGCTCTGGGATCTTCCCTGAATAATGTCATAGAATCATAGAATCCTTAGAGTTGGAACGGACATTTAAAGGTCATCTATTCTAACCCCCTGCAATAAGCAGGGACATCCACAGCTAGATCAGGCTCCGAGATCTTGATCCAACCTTGACCTGAAAGTCTCCAAGGATAAGGCATCAACCACATCTCCAGGTAACTTGTTCCAGTGACCCACCACCCTCACTGTAAAAGACTTTTTCTGTGTATCCAACCTAAATATACCCTCCTTGAGCTTGAGGCCACTTCTCTTTTTTTCTGTAATGACAGATACTGCTGAAGAGTCAGTCCTCTTCATTCCTGTAGCTGAAAGGCTGCTCTCAGGTCTCCCTCAGCCTTCTCTTCTCTAGGATGCACAGCCCCAGCTCTCTCAGCCTGTCCTCATAGGAGAGCTGTTCCATCCTTTGGATCATTTTTGTGGCCCTCCTCTGGGTGTGCTCCAACAGGTCTATGTCTCTCCTGTGCTGAGGACTCCACATATGGACGCAGATGTCCCTGCCCCCAGAGCTGCTCAGAGCCACTGGGACCACAGCACTTGGCTTGAAGCCATCAGCAGGCTCAGAGGCCAAGCACCATGTCCCCCCCTTTGCCTCCTGAGCAGATGGGCTGTGTCAGTCCCTCATCCCCCCTGGACATGTTTATTATCAACATGTGTTGCGAGGGAAGGTGGTTCGTGTCAGCTGGGCGAGTGGGGAGGAGAAGGCTGCACAAAGGGGTGTCCATGGTCATGCAGGGTTTGTGTGGCCCCGTGCTACTCCAAGCCAGACACAATTAGCATGGATGGGAAATGAAACCAGTGGGTATTAATGATGAACCTCAAGGAAGGCTGCAAAATGATGCACAGCGCTCTCCCGCAGCGGTCCCTTTGGTGACCACAGGAGTCTGATGCAGCTTAGTGTTATCCCTGACATGTTGTGTCAGTGCTGAGCTTTCCTCTGCTGTCAGTACTGTGTGATTGCTCAACAGTGACCCTGCAGTGTGGATGCATTTCTATCAGGACATATCGCCAAGTGGATCAGATGTCCCCAGGAGGAGAAGGAGTGGGGTTGCTGGAGATGTGCTGGCAAGGGAACCTCCTCTCAGTCTTGAAAGAATGTTGATTGACTGTCAATGCCAGGCTACCCTGATCCCCACATCCCAATATGTCCGGGCAGAACTGCCCACACATTTACTAGTTTATGGTGACCTCTAGAGGAAGCAACTCCACTCTGGCTCTGCAGATCTGGGGACTCACTGCACCCTTGGCTTAGCTGGAGCTGGAGCATCTCCCTGTGTGTCCTTGTGCTGCACAGTGATCATACCTCTGGCCCAAACCACCCCAGAAAAACTTCCAGTCTGGTTTGGAGGATGTGTGGGGACATGTGGATATCAGGATTAACACTCTGCCTATTTCCATTTATGCACAGCCAGCTTCAATCCCAGCCCTTTACCCCCTTGCTTTGCCTTTAGATGATATTTTCTCCCTATGGGGGTAAAAAAAAAAAAAAAAGTGACGTGAACCAGTCTCTTTATCACCCTCTAGCTGGGCTAAACACACTGATCATCTCATACTTCCCACTGCCGGAGTTCCTCCTCTGGCTGCCTCCCATCCCCAGCACCCCCTGCCTGATCCCCACCTGCCCGCAGGTCGAGCTGTCGGATGGCACATCGCACACCATCACAGATGCCTATGCTGGCAAGGAGTACATCATCCAGGTGGCCGCCAAAGACAACGACATCGGCACGTGGAGCGACTGGAGCGTGGCTGTGCATGCCACCCCCTGGACGGAGGAGCCCAAGCACCTCACCACGGAGGTTCAGATCACAGGTGAGACCCTCACCCAGCACAAACACCCTACACTCAGGAGTCCGGGGTGTGGAGACCCCCAGCACTGGGGGTGTGTGGCAGAGGAGGGCACAGCCCTTTACCACGTGCCTTCACGAGCCTGTGGCCCTGTTGCGTGGTTGGAATGGCCCAGGAGGTGCTGACTCAGCACACCTAGCTCTGGCATCTTCCTCACTGGAGTGCTCCAAGTGCCACGACAGGGCTCTGGATTTATTATTATTTGCTGGAGTGCTGCCCCCCACCATCTCCAGCTCTTCCTCTCCTCCACAGCTCCAACCCCGCGCAATGGCTCGGAGCGATGCCAGTTAGAAATAAAAGCCCCCAAGTTAACAAGCCTCTGTTTCTAGGAAAGAGCTGGGACCGTGTCCAAATGCACGTTATCAGCCCTTGGCTTCCCAGAAGGATGGGAGCGTGCCCTGCGCCGGTTCCCCTGACTGGCACCAGCTGTGGGGTGGCTGGGAAGCACTGGGGGACACTCATTGCCAGGCACTCTGGAACCCTCTGGGTCTACTGTTAGAGAACAGAAAGTCCCATAGACCACACTGTCTCCATTCTCATCATCTTCTCCATCCAGCTTGGCCCTAGAGTAGCACCGTTGGGCAGTGTGGGGATGGGATGCCGCCCTACTCCTGTGGGCAACATCCTAGGGGGCCCCAGCTCCTCTCACCACCCACTCTCCCTCCCTGCAGAGACGACGAGCACCAGCACTTCCTCTTTCATGCCGCCCCCCACCACCAAGATCTGCGACAAGGGGGCCGGAGTGGGCAGTGGCGCCGTGGCAGTGTGTTGGACAGCTGGACTGGTCTTGGCTGCCTATGGTGTCCTCTTTATTTAGTGAGTATGCCCCAAATGGGGGCATGAGGGATGGGGTGGGTGCTGGAAGGGCGTGAAGAGCTCAGGGTCTCTTGCATGGTCGGGAAGGAGACGCTGAGCAGCCTGTGGGCGACGGCTGTTGGGTAGGAAGCATTTGGGTTTGCTTGCAGTTCTTTGTCAATAAACCCAACATGGCTGCTTTTCCAAATCGGGTGTTCTGGTGAAGATAGCTGGGCATGGTTTTTCAGACACCTTCTGCAAAGCTTGCAAAGGAGTTGGGCTTCGATGCTCATGTTCAGCAGAGATGGGGCATAAAGGATGTGCCACCCACCAGGAGGCACCAGAAAGTGCACCAAACAGCCTCTCACATACTGAGGCAGAATGTTGAAAGGTGCACACAGTGAGAGTGGGGTTGGTGTCTTCTCACTGGTGACAGGTGACAGGATGAGGGGAAATGGACTCAAGTTGTGCCAGGGGAGGTTTAGGCTGGATATCTGGAAAAAGTTCTTTACAGAAAGGGTTGTTAAGCACTGGAATGGGCTCCCCAGGGAGGTGGTTGAGTCACCATCCCTGGATGTGTTGAAAAACATTTGGATGTGGTGCTCAGGGACAAGATTTAGCAGAGAATTGTTAGATTTAGGGCAGTATGTTTAGGTTGTGGTTGGACTTGATGAACTTGAGGGTCTTTTCCCACCTGAGCAATTCTATGGTTCTGTGAGTCTACGTGACCCATGGCAGTTCCCATGGTCCTTTCCCTTTGGGTGCATCACCCCCATGTATGATATTAGTGGTGGCAATAGCAGAGGTGGTGTCACGCAGACAACGGTGCAAGGGCAGGGTCCTTTGGGAGGAGAAGGTGGAAGTGATGGTTTTGCGTGCTCAGGTTCTGAGGAGGTGTGCATTTCTTCCTGGGGAAAAAGCCATATTCAGCTCAGCGTATCCCCAGAGCTGTGTCAGTAGCTGGACACTCCTGCTAGCTGGCAGGAGGATGAGTGACCCTTCTCTTCCTCATCACAGATCCCCATCTGTCGCAGCCCAGTGGAGACAACCTCCCACAGCCACCGCCACCGCCACCACCACCCTCCCTCCGCACCCTGCCCGTTCTGAGTCTCTTTATCTCTTCGATTTTGCACACGTTGAGGACGTATCACGCTTCTCGCCATCGCTGCGGAGGAGGACAGAGCCACCATCCCCCCTCCAGGAGGACCTGCCCCAAAAATCCTCGCCGAGAGCCCGGAGCGAGGACATGCACTTGTCCCCATGTCACCCACTCCGCCCCACTCTCAGCAAGGCGCAACGAGCCCGGGCACCGTGCCGCAGCCCCGGATCCAGCGGGCCAGCCCCGCCATCGCTCATACAGCTAACCCGCCACGCCAAAGACGTGCCACCGCCGCGCCGCCGGGACGCGGGTGACAGAGAGCGTGATGGCGCGCTTGGAAGAGGGGATGGGAAACGGGGACGGGGATGGAGGGATGCTCTCAACCTGCGGCCAAAGGGGGCACCCCGAGGACCGGACTCACTCCCCCCTGAGCTCTTGATGGCGTGGAAAAGCTGGAGGGGTGCAGGGTGAGGGCTCGGTCCCCTCCGAGGGGATGGTGGAGGGATGAACTGGTGGCTTTCAGGAGTGCAATGGGGATTCGGGAGCTGGCTCGGTTTTCATGGGGATAAAAGGGGATCAAAACAGCGACAAAAGCCTAGGCTCCCCCCAGCAGCCCCTTGCAGAGCATCGCGGAGCCTGCCCCTCCAGCCAGCGCCCAGCAGCACCCAGAGGAGCCTTCACCTCCCCGTCCCCACGCCCTCACTCTCTTTCAACCACGTTGGATACAGGGAATCACCTCCATCAACATCTTTGTCTTACTCTTCAGCAAAATAAGAATAGCTTTGCCGTCCCCTTAGAGCTGGAGCCCCGAAGACCTGCCCCCCAGTGTCCCTGGCTGTCCCAGTCCCACTCTGTTCTCCTCCTCATCCCACCCAGGCCCTGTTTTGTAAAGACAGCTCCTCTTGTCCCTGCCCAAACCCGAGCGCAGTATTTAATACCGTACGTCCTAGTATTCCAACTGTTGACATGCTGTATTTGAATTTTTTATAGATGTATATATAAAAAAAAAAGCTCGGTTTTCAAAGAAATAAAAGAGAAAGAAACAAAAAAAATAATGGAGGGAAGAAAAAAATAAAGCCCACACAGACACACGCACACACACACGCGCGCGCCAGGAGAGACGGTCTTCATTAAATGATCATTTCATGACCACTGTCAGCTCTGGGTTATTTCCTCTCTGGACAGGAGGGTTTGGTGCACAAAACCTGGCCTTCAGAGCACTTCAAGAGGGTGTAAGAATGGTGGTGGGATGCCCACCTCTGGAAACCCGTGGTTGGCTGTCAGCACACCATGTGGCATCCACCCTGTGGTGAAGTAGCTGGCTGCTACTTGTACCCATTCATGGATAGTGCATCCCCAAGCTCTGGCTGCATTCAGGTACCTCCTAGGGAGGTGGGAGGACAGAGCTGTGGGCGTCTCTAGAGGCAGGAGATGACACAGTTCCAATTAATGCACTTTCCTTGTCTGATTAATAATTTGACATCAGAAAAATGGCATTGGCCCAGATGCTTTGAATGAAATTTCCATGTGACAGTGCTGACAGGGACTGTGTGTGTGGACAGCCTCCACCGACAGCTTGGACTGAGGAGCAGGATGCAGTGCAATGAGGTCTGCTCCTCCATTTCCCCAGCACGTGCCCCAGTTTCCTGCCAGTGTAGTGGCTGCTGGGCTCACGTGTTCATATGCATATGGACACAGGCAGCCTGTGCTGGTCCCAGATCAGTGAACACCAGCAATCCCTTTGCCCTCTTGTTTGTCCAGGTCTGCTGGGGATGGATGGGATGGAAGCAGGCACACAGGAGCAGCCTGTGTGCTGCTCTCATCTTGCCTTGCCTTTGCCTGATGCTGGGCCTCATGCCTTCCAAAAAGAGATGGATGGATGGATGGATGGATGGATGGATGGATGGATGGATGGATGGATGGATGGGAGGATGGATGGATGGGGTTAACATGACGACAGCCCAGGATTTTCACAGCCCTGAAGGCAGCACCAAGTGAGCACCAGCTCCCACCAGGTTCTCACTGTGGTTTTTGGTGTGCTGAGGCTTTGCTAGAGGAGAGCTCAGCCCCATGCAGCCCTGCCTCCCGCTCAGACAGTACTCCCCTGCATGCTGGCCTGGTTCACTGGTTAATGTCCCATTACCAGACAACATGCCTTCATCATTTATTAATGTTTCATTAGTGTTAAAAACATCTGGTAATTAATTATGCACTAATTATGGATTCACAGCATTAAAAGCCAGGGTAATCAGCCATAGCAGATGGCTCTCAGGGCAGGGGGAAGAAGTTTCTGTTGGCAGAGAAGAAAATGTCAGGCCCAGCCTTTGCCTGGGGGAAGTATCCCAGACAGAATGCTTTCATCTCTACCAGGCTCTCCCAGTCCATGCTAAGGCTGACTAGGAACCAGTCACAGGCACACGAGCTCAGGCCTTTAAACAGAGAGGAAACCTGCCCCTCTCCAGCCATTTTAGAAACCAAAGGAGCAGTGTTCCAGTACACAGGGCTGATGGAAAGTGGTGGCTTTTGCGCCCAGTCCCAGGCACCCTCCATCATCGGGAGTCCCACTGCCGGCTGCAGGAAGTTATTTGTCAGCCCCTCCACCGTGCCTGTCTGCATCAAGCAGCAGTCCATAAAGCAAGGGGTGTTGTAAAATCCCAGTCACAGGGTGCCCCAGCGATATTGCCTACAGATGTGCAGAGATGTTTCTAACTCGGGAAGGTCCTCAGGGAGCATCCCTGCCAAGCAGAAAATCCATCCACTTAGCAGTATAAATCCATACAGGAAGAAAGAGGGAATTGCCGTGCTCAGAGAGCCCCGTGCATCGTATAACGTGAAATTTAATACATTAGCCAGGCAGAATGGGTCTCCACATCTTCCCAGCACATATGTGGCAGTAAATCCCACCTTAGGTGTTGCTTTCGGCTGTGGCTGATGTGAGAGCGGCTTTTCACTGCACTCCCCAGGCAGGCAGGCTCAGGAGCTATTTCCTGGCTGCGAGGCCGTGTAAGAAGCAGAACACTGCCTCACTCAAGGGATGGGCTTAGCAGACAGCATATGGCTTCAGTGGGGTACCACGCTTCGGTGGATGGAGGAGGAGCAGTAGCCATGGTGGTTAGTGTTCAGGCTCTGGCAGAGCATCAGACCCAGATGAGAATGATGATGTACAGGGGTAAAAAGCAGAAAGTACACCAAGACAGCTTCACAGACGGACCTGGCCATGCATGCGTCCTATCAAACTTGCTGCAATGCAAGGTGGGATCTGCCAAGCCAGGTGGCACAGGAGAGCTGCAGCTCTTTGGGGCAGGCATCGACCTGGTCTCCGAAGTGCAAACGTCACAGCAAGAGGTGGGGAGATAAGCATGAGCAGCAGCAGGAGCTGGAGGAGAGGTGGTGCTTGTGGTACAAGGGTGAAGAGCAGCACCTACAAGGGGAGAGAATGCAAACTGATTCAGTGTGATTTTGAGGAGGGTTGGTCCCCAACATGCAACAGTCCCAAGTCCAGCAATGTGCAAGATCTCACCCAAAACCATGGAGCACATGTTTAAAAACTGCCTGTTGCTGCTGTGCCAAGAGAGATACAGTGCCGGATGCCTTTGGCAGGTTGCAGCTTTCCTTCCAGGACTTTTCTCCCAGTGGCTCAGGAACAAGGTTCTGCTGCCAGGAAAGGCTTCTGCTCACTGCTGGTGATGCAGGAATGAGTTTGGGTGGTTCAGCTACCACTTCACAAAGAAGCAGATGGAGATGCAGTCAGTAGCCGTGCGGATAAAGAGATCCTACCTGAGCACCCTCACAGTGATGCAAGGCGAAGATTTGTAGCAGCAGGAGGTGATAAATCACAGCAAGTTTCCAGTGACAGCCTTGGAATGTCTGTCGTTGTTGGCTTCAGATCGGGACTTCAGGACTTGATGTCTCCAAAAGAGGGT